CAGAAATAAATGGGCTTTTCAGGAAGTGAACCATGGATGGAGAAATGTTGGCAGTTTTCTTAAAAAATGCTTGAATTCAAGAAGTTTTAGATTTGGGTGGTTTTCTTTGAGTTGCAAAATCCACTTGAACATGACGTTGCTTTTTTCGAAGTTTCTCAAGAACCATTCGAGCCACATAATTCGTTTTGGCATCGTTGGATAGAGAATTGAATGGGGGGGGTCATGACCCCCTTGACCCCCCCCTGGATCCGCCCTTGCTAATTTCTTGTGTCTCAACCAGTGTCGTGTCCGGACGGCTGTGCATAACTTCAACTGCAAAAAAGTGTAATGCATTTGTTGTGGCGAGCCCTGTTGGGCATGATACTCGATTCTATGCAAGGAAACCTTCCAAACTGACTGATTTCTCGTTTGTTGTTTTTCAACCAGAGCCGTCGCGAACATTCGAAAATCCCTTAAAATGAACCAAAAATGTCGATTTTTTCCGACCTGAAGCTTCCAGCGTGTTTTTGACTCAGCTCGTTACATTCCTTGTTTCATACAGAGAAAAATGGTGTAAAATTGGAGACTTTTTAAGAGACCTGGTATTTTTGGAAAAACTCGACTGGCCCACCCTTACAGAAAAGTGAGTGTGCATTTGTTGTGCCAAAAACGAACCCTTTTTGGGGAGAACTGCCAACATTTCCCAGCCCCAAAGTCCAAATCGAGCCTCAAGAGGGTGAACAGCATAATAATCAATACGTTTGTGCCCTACTAAACAATAAGCAATGTTGCATGAAATGTTCAGAAAGCAAATCGAGCCACTCAATTACTGCGCCATTCCCGAGACACATATCTCGATGCCTTGCCGGTAAACGCCGAATTGCCCCTGAGACCTCCTGCATCTGCATTATGCAATTATCAAATACATGCCTAATTGGATCAAGACGGATCTCGGCCAGAAGCTGGGCCTTAGTTCGATACATAAATATATGCAGAAAAGTCGGGAATCTGGAGGAGATGTAAAAAGGTTCCGCGTTGTCACTCCGTGTTCGGCTTCCGACTTTATTGTAGGTCCCGACCGGCATGAATCTTGGATGAGGCCGATCGCTTTCTGATATACGGCTTCCGATATGAGTTATGGGCCTCTGGTGATTCGGGCGACGACTTGGCAAAGATCGCCATCAAATATGCAACGGCATGTTTATGTATCACATGCCGAATTTTGTGTTTTTCGCGCCCGGAATAACTCAACAGCCCATCTACGCTTATGGATGGGCGGGTGGTCCTTAATATTAAGTCACCAATACGGGCAGCGCGCCTACAGGCACGCCAATGACACCATCAGAACGGGTTGCCTGCATAGCAATAAAGTTCAAGTGATAGTCAATCGTCTTTTCCTCGAAACGTGCCTCAATTTGTCCATGCCAATGTGAGTTGGCATTGCCACTCTCATTGGACGTAGGTCTGGACACAGTGGATTTTCAGGTGTTGACACACTACTACCGATACGGCTGGTCGCGTCAATACAAAGCGTCAACGCACTTTATGATGCAGTAAACTCATAAGGCGATGAATATACAGGGTTATTCACGCTATACGGACGGAAGTTTGCGGCTAAACCGTTTGATTTTTAAAAAGTATTATTTTATGAATTGTCCGACGCCTACCGTTGTAATGTACAGGTTGTCCCAAAGGCTCTAAAGGTATCAAAGCTGCGTTTTTTAAATGGAATGTCCTGTATATTATTGCATTTTTGGATTCGCTGAACAAAATAAGTGTCTGTTTTAATAAGGTTTATAATACCTAAA